TGCGACAGGGGAAAGACACGTGCTATTTATACCGCGAACAGACGAGCCTTTCGCACAGTCTATCATTTATTTTGACGAGTGATCATCTACGAAAAAAAAATGTTCATTCTGATAACGGACAAACGCGACATTCTCGCTTTTACAGCCGAACAACTGCAATACGTATCAAGGATCATCCTTCTGCGCGATTCCGAAAATTATATCGAAGAATTGTGGGATCGATTACCCGATCATATAAAAGCCGATACTGAGGTGAAACGTTGTCGTATGTGTTTCGAGCATTATAATCTTCCAAATCAAAAAACGCATATAGACGGTCCACCGCCTTTTATCAAGAATTGTCCCCAATGTCGCGTTGATATGCAAACAATCGCGTTGGAATGATACCTGCGCACGGCATGGGTTTACTGAACGCGACGATAAACGCGCTTCCGTTTGAATTACACATTCCTGGATACCAATTTTGCGGACCAGGTACACGTCTCGCGAAACGATTAGCTCGCGGCGATCGAGGCATCAATAAATTAGACGCGGCTTATCGCGAACACGATATCGCGTATTTGTAAAGCAAAGACCTCGCCAGTCGACACAGTGCTGATCGAGCTCTCGGCGAGAAAGCAAAACAGCGTATTACAGCAAGCGATTCGACGTTAGGTGAGAAAGCCGTCGCGACCGCCGTGTGGGCAGCCATGAAGGCGAAGACAAAATTGGGCATGGGTGTGAGAAAAAGAAAAAAGTCAAGGAGAACGAGGATTTTATCTGTAGCGAAACGCGATGGTTTTCTGCCAATTTTACCGGTGTTGGGTGCGCTCGGATCTTTGATCGGTGGAGCAGCTAGCGTGGCGAAAGCAGTGGGCGATCGAAAAGCTGCTCGACGACAACTCGAGGAATTGCAACGTCACAATCGCGCGATGGAGGGTCGCGGTCTGAACATTGCGCCACACAAACGTGGAGGTCGCGTGAGGAAGAGAACGAAGAGGATAAAAAAAAAACATCATGGAAGAAAACGGTAGAGGATCTTAGATTACCGATCTCCGGCATCACGACGAACGAGTAATTGCGTCGTTCGGCGTATCTTTTAAAATTGCCATTCTTCAGAGGTGTATTCATGCGCGATGCGATGCCCGCGAAACCACGTCGTAATGAGAGCGGTATCGTGAATCTCGACGATTCGACAGCACCCGGTACACACTGGGTCGCTTACGCGAAGAGGGGAAACGAATCTGTCTACTTCGACGGTTTCGGTAATCTAAGACCACCGAAGAAAGTCGAACGTTATTTCGGAGGTAACATCACATACAACAGACGATCATATCAGTTGTACGATCAAAGCATATGCGGTCAGTTGTGTCTACGGTTTCTCTGGGAGATCGATTGGAAGAGGAAAAAGTCCTCATGTGATAGATCGCACTACAATCCGAACAGTTCAGCGGTGGCTTTCGCGCTACGATCATGTCATTGACTCTCTCACTAACGGGAAAAAACAGTGTCCTCGCGACGAATTACTTCCCCGCTTTGGACTTGAGCGATAGCGAATACGAATTGGGTCTTACGAATTTCGAAACGTACAACACGATACCGAACGTCAACTCCTCGAATAATAAATTCCACTTCGACGCCGACAATATTACGATCACGATTCCCGTAGGTTCGTACGAATTGAACGATATCGAAAAATATCTGAGGACCGCTATAGTTCACAATACACTACCGAGTACTATCAACAATGACGAACTCGAAGAATTCGACGAGATAGATCTAATATTCGAGGACGAAAGAACTATGGAACGGGCGAAATCTGTATTGATTCTTCGCGCGAACGAAAACACTATGAGAAGTGAGATCAAGTGTGAATATCTAGTGGATTTTTCCAAAACGAACAGTATCGGTTCATTATTGGGCTTTTCGCCTCGTATGTTACGACCGAACAAGTGGCACGTTTCGGACGAACCGGTTAAAATTATGAACGTGAATATAATTCGCGTTGAGTGTAACATTACCTCGGGTGCATACAACAACGACAGACCGGTACACACGATACACGAATTCGTGGCGAACGTTCCTCCAGGATATAAACTATCCGTTACTCCAGCGCACGTCATTTACCTCCCGGTCATCGCACGAAACATTACCGATATAACGATACGTGTAGTGGATCAAAACGGACAGTTGATCGACTTCCGCGGCGAAGAGATATCGATTCGACTACACATACGACGTAAACGCTAGGAAAACTATGTTCGAGGGTGGAAGATGCTCGTCCTGAACGATTCGTACGACGGAGTGAACGTATCGCAAACATCGACATTGTGGAAGCCATTCAAAAATCGATACAATCGAACGAAAAAACAAAAAAGAGGAGGTCGATTAAACGCGAGGAACGTCGCCTTTCTACGGTCACTCGGATTCGTCGTGAGAAATGAATCGTGACATCCTGAAGATCGGAGGTGCTCCGATCTTCGATGATCGCATCGTTAAAATAGAGACTCACACTTACAATCCGTACGCTAACACTACATTTGGATACAGCGATGAAATACGAATACCGATTCAACACCAGGATCTCTACACGTTACCGTGCGAAAGTTTGCTCTACATCGAGAGAAAATTCGTCATAAAAAAAAAGGAAGGTAGTACCAATCGAATACCGAAACTGACGAATAACTGCGTCGCATTCATGTTCGACGAAATTCGTTACGAATTAGACGGAGTTGAAATTGACAGAAATAGAAACGTCGGTATTACAAGCACTATTAAAAATTACATTTCGTTGACAGCTGAAAGAACTAAAACGTTAGAGAATGCAG